TCTGCCATAATGTCCTGCCCTGGAGCCAGCCGACTGTGGACCAAGAACACGAGCCAAAACAAACCTCTGAGTTGTAGGTGTTAGGCATTATGTCCCAGTGATAAGAAAGTGCCTAAGAGGCTTCAGGGGTCCCAGAGCACAGTGTGTGTACTCCTGTGGACACCCGTGTCTGCACCCAGATGAGGGAAGGTGGTCCATGACTCCTCAGCCGGCTCCTTCTGTGCGGCTGTTCCTCCTCTGGGGATAGCTTCTGGGATAACTGGAATTGAGGAACATACTAGTTTGGGCTGAATTTTCTATCTATCTGTTCCACAGGCCCTGGACATCTGAGGTAGGAAAAGTCACATGTTACTTGACAGAACTGTGTAGAAAGAAATCATGTCTGATCAAAACACTGTGAAAAGTCCTGAACTTAAGTATGAAACATGCCCCTTCAGGTCAAACTTCTGACTTTAACCTTTGTCCTGAATTGTTTCTATTTTTTTTCCCAGGAAGAATTTAGACGTTGTTCAACTTCATAAATTACCTCTCACGAATTCGTCCGTAGACACCACTGATTTTTTTTTTTTACTTTTTTTGAGGGGAGGGGTTCTTTTTCCGGTACCAGGAATGGAACTCACGACCTTGCGTTTGCCAGGCAGATGCTGTGCCGCTGAGCTAAATCCCCAGCTTCTACCAGTAATTTATTTTAAGAGAGCAGCTAAATACACTTCCATCATAATAATCTATTTTTACTGGATCTCCACTAGAGAAAGGAATTATTAATGGCTGACCAATATTTTTAAACTTATTTTTTGAGTAGCAAGAATGGAGACAAAAATAAAATGAATAAATTACAGACACTGGATACTTAGAGATTTAAAGTTTCCCATATGCCTTTCCAGTATTGGTCTAGCATAACTATTAAGACTATTGGTGGGGGGCTGGGGATTAGCTCAGCGGCACAGCGCCTGCCTGGCAAGCACAAGGTCTTGAGTTCGATCCCCGGTACCGGAAATCCCCACACACACAAAAAAAGACTATTGGCTATGTGGTCCTTTAGAAGCCAATTCCAATTATCTACCCCTTTCCCTAAAGCCATCTGTGCATTTCCCAGGCAGTTACTGAGCAAAAGGCAGGGGGTATCCATGTGGCTGACCTAAATTGCTCAAAAAAAAAAAAAAATAGGAAGGATTTTTTTCCGTGTAAAACAAAGGATGTCATTCTGGTTGCTCCTTGTAGAAAGCTGAAAAAGTCACTCTAGCATAAATTTGAAGCTTATCATGTTTATTGTAGAGCAGAGAGACTAACAGCAACTGGGTCCTTAGTAACTTGTTGAACCATTGAATTAAGCAGTCCCAAAGTCTACCTGCCTCTGGGCTTTCTTTTATTATGAAGTCAATGATTTCTTTATTAAGACAGTTTTATTAGGTTTTCTTTTACTTGATTCTGACATAATCCTAACCCACAGATGTTTGTCCCCCTGGCCTTAATGGTAGCCACCCTCAGAAGAGTAGACAAGTCACCTTATTGTCCTGGAAAAGGGAAGCAGAGATTGTGCTTAGTAAAAAAATCACAGTTTTCCAGTGTTACCGCTTGTATCTAGACGTCCCCCCAAAGCCTCATGTGGTCATAGCTGGGGCTTTTAAGAGGTGGCTGGATCTAGGGTACGTGATGCTGGGATTAAGTGTGTGATTACTAAATTAGTCCACCGATTAGTTTGACATAGTTTTGGATGTAGATAATGGGAAGGCCCACTTGGTGTGGGTAGCACCACTCCAAGGACAGGTAGCCTAAATGGTTATAAGGTGATGGAAAGAAGGCAGGCCAGCTGCTAGTTCTTTGCTACTTTACTGCTTTGCTGCCTTCTGCCCACCATGAACTGATTTTCCTCTCTGATCCCCCTCTGCCATGCCACCCTGCCTTGGAGCCAGCCAACTATGAACTGAAACCTCTGCACACTGTGAGCTACAATAAACCTTTCCTCCTTAACTTTGGGTGTTGGGTATTTTGTCTCAGCAGCAAGTGAGACAAGTAAGATGGCCAGGTATTAGGCTAGATGTGGTGGCACATGCCTGGAATTCCAGTACTCAGGAGGCTGAGACAGAAGGATTGCTGTGAGTTTGCGACCAACCTGCACTACAAAGTGAGACCTTGTTTCAAAAAACAAACGAAAAACAGTTTGTCAGCTACTGTTAATACTGTATTCATTCCAGAATGTATGTTTATACATTGTATGTTTAAACATTCCAGAAACATAAGGGCATCATTAATACTGTGAATACTCAGCTATGGAAAGGGAAGAGATGAGAATGGGGTGGGGCACACACTGAGATTGAACTCACAGTGGCCCATCTGCCTGGAAGAAGCCTGAGTATGGGCTTGAAAGTACAAAGACCTCAGAGCTGTGTCCTGGTCAGAGACAGTGAGCCCATGCCCTCTGTGGTAGATCCCTGTTGGGCAGCACCAGTCCTGCATCATTTGACCAACTGGAAAAGACGCATCAATAGCGACACCACGTGACTATGAGGTGCAATGACGGAGGTGGATCCCTGAACCGTCAGGCCTTCCCTCCAGGTGTGGAAGGTGGATTTTCCCTTTAAATATTTTTGATCAACTAACTCCTTAGACATTTTTGGAAATGGTGGACAGGACCCTAGTTTTAGATTGTGAACTTATTAAACAAATATAAGGTTGAGCTCATTTTCTTGCTGGCAGCTAAGTTAGATAGAAATTAATATATAGTCAGAGAGGGATTGGGGCCTCAAGAAAGTCAGCACAAAAACATAAGGGCATCAGAATTGTGGCTGGAAGCAAATCTGAAGAGTCAGGCCTCAGGATGGATAAGCAATAGCCAGGCCTGCAAGGCAAACAACAATTTGAGATTATGCATAATTAGCACCACCTGGCCCAACAGGCCCTGATAGGTATCAGGTGCATAGGTAGGAGACCAGAACATCCAGATCCATACTCCCCACTTCCCAAAAATACAGGTTTTTTCCATGTGCCTGTGCTATGTGACTCGTTTCCTTTTTGGATCAATATTAGCTAAGCAGCTATACAGCACCTGTGATTCTACATTGTGACTTTGCTGCGTAAACTAACCCTGACAAAAGACCTGCTCAGTGGCCACCCTATTCGAGACCCCTCCTGGAAATCCAGGAGCTATTCTTCTTCCCCTAGTTTCCAGTGAAACTCTTCTTTCTTTTGGTTTCTAACTTCATTCCTCCATGTTATGAAAACACAAACTTAGTAGTACATTTGACATCTAACAGGTTAGGAGTTACATTTTTCTTGTATCAGTTTTTTTGTGTGAAAAAAAGTGATCATATCTGTACAATGTGGAACCTACTTGTATACTGTTTTTTAAACACATATATTAGGGTGAAAAAGGAAGCTTGAAAACATTAAAGCAAAAATATTTCCATTGTGTACATACTGGAAAGTCTGTTAGTGATTTCCTGTCACCTCCTGGATAAAGTCCCAGAACCATACTTTGCTTCTGTAATGATAGAACACACTCAGATCCCCCAGGAAGCCTTTAGTAAATTCAGTTCTAATGTAAACGCTTTGGCAGCTAGGTTTGTGGTTTTTAGGAGGACAGACACGCACCGCACCACAGCGGCCGTCAGGTGTTCTCTACCTTTCCTCCTTGTTTTGCCAGGGAACTCTTTTCAGAAATCCTTAAGGAGTCCTCTACATTTGCCTTTCACCTCGGCTGCATACTGAAGTCATCCGAGGAGCCTTACACATTCTCGCACCTGGGTCCTAGCTCAGGGATTTTGATTTAATGGGCCTAAGCATCGAGTTTTCAGAGCTTCCCAGGTGATTCAAATGTGCAGCCAGGATTGAGCCACAGCAGCCTAGGAGGCTCCAGCGACAGCCTTACGTACAGCAATCCTTTCCCTTCTCTGATCAGGCTTATCAGCCGACCTTGAATGCGTGCCCATCTCCTTAACTTCTACGCAGCAGTCAAGCATCTCTGCACTGTTGCAGGCTAATGCGGGTCCTTGCACTTCGTAAACATCTGAAAAATGCTGAACGAGGGTGAAAGGTTATCAACAGTTCCTGGGGGTCGTCCGGTGCCGGCCGCTACAGTGATCAGCCCGGGCTGGAACACGTAGAACACGCTGACCGGCCCCCAGAAAGAGTTCACAATTATGGTGGGGAGCGAGCACGCCGAAGGTGGGTATCGAGAGGCCAGTTTGGCGTGACCAGGGAGTCCAGGCTTCCCTTCCACCTGTAGCTGCAAAAACCTGTTTCCGACAACTTCCGCGTAAACAAGGCTCCCGGCGCGCGCCCAAGGGCCCACCCGGCGGGAGCGTGATGGGCGTGCCAGCGGCGGCACGGCGGACGAAGTCTGCGTCAGTGATGGCCCCGCCCCCAGCGGCGGAGCCAACCGGAGGACACGGGCTGCCCCAGCCTTCCCCGGCCGCCGGAGAGAGTCGCTCGGAGCCTCTGCGGCAAAGGGGGCGTGCCCTCGACGCGCGCGGGTTCGATTGGCTGGCCTCGCCCGCGGCAACGGTCGCGGAGGCGGGGATCGAACCTAGGGCCGAGCGGGCTGGGCCAGCTGCTGGGAAGGTGAGCGGTGCTTGAGGTCGCTGCAGGTGTCGTCGGCGTCCCCTTTCCAGGAGACCCCTAGACTTGGCCTCAGCCGGGGCCGCGCTCATTGAGAGCGCTGGTGTCGCGGCTCGGCGCTTGGGCGAACCCGCGTCCCGCCGGCTCCGCGGCCGTGGTGCCCTTGGCTTCGCGAGGCCTCGGCGCCTCGGGGTCTGGTCGGGACGTGAACGCGGTGAGGGTCGTCGGACGCGCGGGTGAGGATGGACCCAGCCAGTGCTGCGGCCGAGACCCGCCGTCCCGGCACAGGGGCTGGGTGTCCTTACGCTGCGCTGCTAGGCCCACTCCGGGCAGTCTGTCTCCTGTGTGGCGCCTGCTTTGATTTGTTTTGTTTTGTTTTGTTGTCTTTTTGAGACAGGGTCTCGCTGTGCAGTTCAGGCTGGGCTTTGTAGCCCAGGCTGGTCTCGAACTCGCAGCGATCCTCCTGCCTCAGCCTGCCGAGTGCTAGGATTACAGGCGTGCACCACCACGCCTGGCTACTTTGATTCTTTAATGTGAGAAAGGTCAGCGATTTAAGAGACACCTCACAGAAACCAAACAGAAGGGTCCTGATTGCCTGCGTATTTGGTTTATGTGGGTACTGGGGATTGAACCTGCGCCTTCGCACCGAGCTGCATTTCCCGCGGTCTCCTGCTTACCCCTTTTTCTTGGGGAAACAGAGTCTCACAGAGTTGCTCAGTTGCCCAGGCTGGGCTGGAACCTGCAGTCCTCCTACCTCAGCCTCCCAGAATGCTGTGACTACAGGTGTGCAGCCATTTTATTTCATTATTTATTTATTTATTTTTCTGGTACCTGGAATTGAACTCGACCTGGCGCTTGCCAGGCAGGCGCTGTGCCCTACATCCCTGGCCCTAGCCATTTTATTTTTAATCTCCCTCCCTCTCTCCCTCCCTCCTCCCCTTTCCCTCCTTCCTTCCTCTCCCTCCCTCCTTCTCTCCTTCCCCTTCCCTCTCTCTGCTCTCTTCTTCTCTCTCTCCCTCCCCCCCTTCTTCCCTCCTCTCTCCCTCCCCTCTCCTTCCCTTTCTCTCTCTCTCCCTCCCCTCCCCCCCTCTCTCTATATACAGACTTCAGGTCTGACTAGATCTCCTGAAATGGCAGAGGTAGCCGGCTGGCTTGGAGTTTCACTGGCAGTTTTTGCTTCACAGCAGCGGAGCCCTACTCTGGCCCTTTAGGTAACTTATCCTGAGACGAATGATGGTTGAGATGACAGCTATTCCTAACTCCCTTTTCTTATTGTAGATACATTTCTTTTTCAGGAATCCTAAAAAAGCAAATTTGAATATTTTGAAGCAATTCTTGTATGAACAGAAGACAGAGACATGAAAAGCGTTAACTAATTTAGTGCAGTAATTTGAAAGATATACTTTGAGATCCTTGCTAATTTTGGTGTGACTCATTCGAAAAAGAACAGATGCCTGTCATGGTTTATTTCCCGGTTTCTTCTCCAAAAATGGTGAAAGTAGTGTATGTGCGTGTTACAGTGGCTTCAGACCTTTACCAAGTGATTTAAAGAAAGGCTGTTGGGAAACATAGTGCTAGAATTTTTTTTTCTTTTTGTACTTGGCTTTATGTCCCATATACCAGTGATAGTGAACCTGACACGTGTGCCACAGTGGGCTGTTTGTATCGTTGAAAGTTCTAAAAGGGTTACCATCACTGCCATATACAAACTAACTGTTACCTTTCCATCCCCTACACCTGTAGTCTTTGTTTTGTTTTAGTTTTTGAGACAGGGTGTCACTATGTAGTCCAAGCTGGCCTTCAATTCATGTCAGTCCTCCTGCCTCAGCCTCCTGAGTTCGGGGATTACAGGCATGAGCCACCACTCCCAGCATCCTGTAGCCTTACTGTGTGTCTGTTAATGACACTAGAGCTACACCATCTGCCTTGGCTTAGGGAAGCATGTGATCGCTTCCTGTGATTATTAAAGTTGTAAACCTGTATCCTATAACAGCCTGAAGTGGGGAGAAAGCTGCTGTAAATTACTGACATTTACTTCACAGAGCAGACCTCAAAGGGGGAGGAGGGCTTGATCACAGGGTAAGTTAGTGGTTTCCTTCCTGCCTTAGTTACTTTTCTTGTTGCTGAGACAAAATACTTGACACCCAAAGTTACAGGAGGAAGGTTCATTTAGCTCACAGTTAGTGGAGGTTTCAGTCCATAATTGGCTGGCTCCAAGGCAGAGTGGCGCATGGCAGAGGGCAACAGCTCATGATGGTGGAGGACAGCAAAAGCAAGCAAGCAAGGAGGCTAGGCACACCTCTTTCTATCCCTTACATTGTATCCAGTCTACTGGGATTAGGATGGCACCAATCCAGTCAGTGGACCATTCCAGCAGTCGCTTACCCTGAATCCCAGCACTGCACTACGAATCAGTCACACACTCTAGCTTCAGCCACCTCCAAAAAAAGCCCTACAGCCGCATGAGGCTCGTGGGGTACGTCTAAACACAAACCATTGCTCTGCCTGTGATTTGTGGTCCGTCACATTTTGTATCTGTGTTTCATTGTAGTGCTGTTGTGAGTGAGGCTATTCTCCCTTTGAAGCCAGTGATCTGAAATGATGATTGACATGGATTCCCAGAAAATGTTTCAACAAAACAGAGAGAGGAAAGCTAAAAAGGGGAAAGAAGGGAAGATAGGAGGCGTATGATATGGCAGGGAACTGTGCAGGCCATTAACAGTTACTATAGTTGTTTGGGTTCTGGTTTAGTGGATACCAGAACCACAGATACCTGCTCTGAGACTTAACACAAGGCCATTCTTACTAACAGGGTGACTCTTTCAAAATTCTGGTCTGTATCTTTTTGAAACCTAGATGAAGATCCAGTTTCGAACATGAGACTCAGTGGGCGATCATTTCATTGAGATAACTTGAATGACCAGGTGTAAAGTGCAAGAGGAATGTGCAATGACTGAGGTATGTCTCACGGGACAGATGACTAGATGTTGGAAGGGCATGGAAAAAATTTATTATTTACTGAATATTATGCTAGATATATTACATGTATTTTCGTGTCTTCCCGATAATCCTGTCAGGTAAATCCGTATTTAACTCAGTAAGAGAACTGAAGCTTAGAGGGACTAAATAACTGCTTTAGACGGTACAGGTGATCACCAACAACACAGCTGATTACCATCTCTAACCACGAAGTTTGTTTTGTGTGCCAACACTGTCCTGTGTTCTTTCTGTGTGAACTCTTGATCTTCATAGCACTGTTAGCTAAGTACTTTTATTACCCTCATTTTTTATGAGGAAATTAAATTGTTAGATTAGTGCGTTCTTGGCTTGTGTGTATGTATACAGAGCTATACCATCTTTTGATTAGTGTTTTATTTAGGCAAAAATTTTTTATTGTAAAATTTTTATTATGAAATAAAACTCTCATATACAAAGTGTATAACTTAATGAATTATTATAAGATGGTACTACATAGTATGCTAGAGCTCCTCCGCTGCCCTTTTCTAAAAACAGCTCCCACGCTCCTGCTAGTTGCCACTCTCCTGATGACTTGTTACTTTTTCATGTCTAGAACAAAAAACCTGAAACCCACAACTTAAAGGAGAAGAGATTTATTCTAGTTCACAGTTTCCAAAGTTTTGGTCCATGTTCTGTTAACTCCAGGAAGGCAGAAATCACGTGGTGGAATGGGCTGGTCAGAGGAAAGCTGCTTACCCTGGGGCCCACGAAACAAGAGAACAGGGAGGAACCCAGGAGGGAGCTGTGTCCTTCTAGGTCAGGCCCCTAGTAACCTGCCTCTTTTGACCAGACCTCAGCTTCTAACAGCGAGTTAGGTATAGTATTCCCATAATGCAGTCTCTACAAGCTCTAACTCTGAACACATGAGGCTTCTGGGGTACATTTTTAATCTAAACCATAATACCTGATTTTTATAGTAATTACTTCCCTGCGTTTTCAATGCATAGTTTTGTGACTATAGTCTTGACCATTAAAAAAATGTTAAGTGAATCTGTTGGTTTTTCTTTGCGTCATTCCTTTCTTGTAATTTATCCGGTTAGATTCTGGGTCAGCTGATCTGTGCATTTCCTATAATCTGAATTCTGCTGATTGCAAAGTTGTGTTCCATTCAGTACTTTCTTTGCCCTCAGTAATACCTGCACATTGTTAGCTAGATCCAAGACTGAATCCCTGTGGGAATTTTTGAGTACTGTTTGGCAGGACTATAAGAGGCACATAATGTTTTATTGTCTTTGTCCCTTTGCCCTCAGCAACTACTGATATTTGATGACTGTTCTATTTACTGAGGGTTGAAAAATAGTGGTATTTATATCTTTCTCTTTTGTTAGTTGGAATTCTAGTCCCTTCATCTATCATTTGGATATGCAGAAGACAGTTTACATAGGAAAGGCAGGATAATGATTCTCTCCATTTATTTACCAGTTTTCATAATAAGGAATTGGTTCCCTGTTTTCTAAAGGTAATTATGGCTTGTGTTTAGAGCTTCCCCCAAACCCTCGTGCAGCCATAGGCAGGACTTTTTCAGAGGTGGGTGGATCTAGAGTGTGTGCCTGATACATGGTGCAGTGCTAGGATTAAGAGTGCTAAGGTTAAGGGTGTGCGTGCTACCTGCCCTAAGGGAAGTAGCCTGGATACGGTATAAGGAACAGAGAGAGACTTGTTGCTGGTTTCTTGTAGTTTGTCTCTTGCTTGCTTTGTTATCTTCTGCTGCCAGGAACTTTTCTTCTGTGTGAGGCCTTTCTGCATGCCACCCTACCTTAGAGCCACCAAACTAAACTGAAACCTCTACAAACTGCAAGCTAAATAAACCTTTCCTCCTTTAACTTTCGGTGTTGGGTATTTTGTGTCAGTGAGAAAAGTAATTTAAGCAAATACGGCGTTACAGGTTGGGTTTCAGTTCATTGCAGTTGTAGCTCACATTGTCTCTTCCTTGGCTAGTGGAGACCTACTCAGTAAGCCTTTCTGATAGAACCCTAGTAGTTTTTGATAACAACCTTGTTACCTGATCAGTTTCTGTCCCAGATCTAAAACCAGTTAATCTTTTTTGTTTTGCTTTGTTTTCTCTTTTTGAGATTGTTGTTGGCGGGGATGGTGGTGGTGTTTTTTGTTTTTTGTTTTTTTTTTTTCCTACCTAAGTGAAAAAAGGAATTTTTCTTTGCAGTACTGGGGATGGAACCCAGGGCCTTGTGCTCTGTCACTGGCTGCATCCCTAGCCAACTCTTCCTTTCTGAAGTTTTTAAAATTTCAAGATAGACTGTTGCTAAATTGCCCAAACTGGCCTCAAACTTAGTGATCCTCTTGCCACAGCCCCTTGAATGTGTGGTATAAATTTCAGTTCTGCCCCCTTCTATTTAATTCTACTTAGTATATTGGGAATATAGTGTGTAGTTTTGAGCAAGAATAAATTAATTACTGGTTTTAAAATTAATAATAAACTGGGGCTGGGGATTTAGCTCAGCGGCAAAAGTGCCTGCCTGGCAAGCACAACGTCGTGAGTTCGGTTCCTGGTACTGGAGAAAAACCAAAAAAAAAAAAAATTAATAATAAACATTAATTTTTTGTGGTGCTGTATGCCTATAATCCCAGCTCTCAAGCTGAGGCAGGAGGATGACTATGAGTTTGAGGCCACCCTCAATTACAGGGTGAAACCCTGTCCAAGAAAAAAAGAAACAAGTTTTGCTTGCAGTATAGAAGCAAAGCTGGCATATCTACCTTTAAAGTGTTAAAAAAGAAAGGCCACTTTTTTATTAATACATGTTTACATGTATTAATCATTAATAATACATAATGATTACATTTATTGTAGGGAGTTTGTACATGGCTATAACATCTTAATTTTGTTGTTACTGTTGTTTTTCAGACAGGTTCTCTCTCTATAGTACAGGATGGGATTGAATTTGTGGTGATCCTCCTGTCTCAGCCTCCCAAGTGCTGGGTTTACAGGTGTGCCCCACCACGGCCTGGCTAGGAATGCTTTTCTTAAAAAATATGTAGTGACCCTTTTTTTTGGCCTCTTCTGAGCAGTTTTAGCCTAAAAGGCAGTTTGTCTGAAAATAGTATAGCTATTCCTGCTTGTTTTTAGATTCCCATTGCATGAAATAATTTGTTTTCCAACCTTTGACTTTCAGTCTATGAATTTCTTTTGGGTGTAAATGTGTTTTTTGTATATAGTATATTGTTGGATTTTATTTCTTGGTTCATTCTGCTAATCTTTGTGTTTTTATTGGCCAATTGAGACCATCCAGATTGATGGTTATACCTGATAGGTATTGACTTATTCCTGTCATTGTATTATTTTTCTGCTGTTGATTCCCTTTCTTTCCTTTCTACTTCATTGCTCTCCCTACCTGTGCATTCATTCTATTGGGCATTTTGGCACTGATAATTTCATTGTCTCTTTTTGTAATATTCTTTGAAAAGGAGAGGGAAGACGCAGGAGAGGCAGTACTCAGAACTCAGAGCGGGTTGGGAAGGGAATGGGGGTATGTGTTGGCAAGAATTTTTTGGAGTCCTTCTTTGGTGGTCATGAATTTCTTTAGATGGTCTTTATCATAGAAATACTTTATGTATCTATCAATTTTGAAAGATAATTTAACAGGATATGTGTATCAGTTTGTGTTGGAACCCTAGGGAATATAAAAATAAGAGGGAGGGGAGAGAAGTGTGTTCATTAGTAAAGCACGAGCTTAGCATGCTTGAAGTTCAGTCTCCAGCACCAAGGGAAAAAGTGAAGGAACAAAAGAAGGGAGGGAAGGAAGGAAAATCCATTATTACAAATATGTCTGCAGGATCTGTACAGGACACTTTTTTTCTATTAGGAATCATACAATCCTAGAGTAGTTTCTTCCCTAAGAATCAAAACTGGAATACCATTTTACAATGGAAGTAATGATTTCTGTGGTAATGTTTATGCAGAGGTGATCTCTCCAGTTAGTGAAATTCAGAACTAGATACCAGGCCTCCTACCTCTTAGCTTGTAGAACAATATAGAATTGCTCTGTGTAATAACAAGAACTCTCTTTGGGCAGCTGTCGTCATACACATTGTGTTTCTTTTCATTATAGTTCATTGTCTCTAGAATTGTGTTGTCCATAGTGCACACATGTGTATGCATGTGTGTTTATATGCAAGTGTGTGTGATTTGTTAGTTCTGACCTACTGAATATACTGAAGGAATTTATTCTAGGAACTGAAGGACCAGGCCTAGCTCAACATCTGCACCATCTGATTTCCAGAACCCAGTCCCTTACATGAAACCTGGAAGCTAAAACAAAAGTTGCATCTGCTAGACTCCTTTGCAGCTAGGTTCCTGGATGAGAAGACCTAGCTAAGGTACTGTGTGCATCACCCAGGACTGTTCCTTCTTATAGTGAGGTTTAACTAATTGTGTGATCTAGCAGTTAGAAGGTGGTGTGAAGCAAAGGTCACATGGCTGGCAGATTCTGTTTATTTCTTTCAGGAGCTTCATTTTATTTAAAGCATAAAAAGTTGGTGAATATTCATTTAGTGAATAGTAGAATAAGGATAAAGAATGAACTTTCCTAAATCACAAATATATATGAAAAAAAATTTTTATTTCAGGAGAACTACCCTATAAGATTCCAGAGGACTAATAAAAAACCTGAGTTTTTATAAAACATGTGAATGCAAAGAAAATGTCACTAATAAAAATCATAAAGATACTGATGAGAGATGAGACAAAAGCTAACTATGGGTTGAGTTTGAAGAGAGGAGTTAGGATTTAGGAGACAATCCATCACAAAAATCTGAAAGAATTGTAAAGAGGAAAATGGGATAATAACTAGAGTGCCATGAGAATAAAAATTACTTTGAAAAAAACAAGGAAGTTTTCAAAGCAGAATGAAATTCTGCTGGTATCTGGGACTCAGTGGCTGGTATATTAAAGGAACATCTAGATAGATGACATTGATTATATACAAAAGTACTTTTAAAGGGTCACACATTTTCTTGAGTGTTTCTCACAGTGTTTGGCCTACAAGAGGTGTTCATCAAATGCCCCTTAGATTGGCTTTGCGGGAATTGGGAGTTTTTGGAGGTATTATATTGCTTTGTTTTCTGATGTTTCTATTTTTTGTTTGTTTATTTTCTGTGCTGAGACTTGTAGATTGATTATAGTGGGTAGCTTTGTTGCTAATATAGAGACCTGTTTAATGTGCATTTCAAAGGGGTCCTTGAGCATAGCTAACTATTAGCATTTTCCACTGTCCCAAGATCCAACCATCTCTTTTTATTTGGCAGGGGAGGTTATAGCTTATTTGGCCTAGTACCCAGTTTTTATGGAATGTATTATTTGTGACCCCCAGGCAATCCAGAGACTGGCATATAGAGAAAACCACTTGACAGCAACATCTGTGTCATCTTGGTTAAATTCGTAAAATCAACAACAGTGTTGTAAAAACCAAGCTAGATATTGTCAAACCCTAAAACTAAAAACTTATCACCTTCAACCATAGAAAAGAGATCTATAGTTACAGTATAAACAGTATGATACACCAGATACTAATCTACAGTAAATACCTACAGAACAACCTTACCTCCAGTAACAGTATAACAGTGTTCAACCATAGTAAGATATATTTAACTGTATAGGTTTATAAAGCTTAATGGTTAAACTTGTAAGAGTAGAGGTAGTGGGGATTGGGAGCCTGAAGGAGCAAAAGGAAATCAGTAGTATTAGATAAAAGTTACAAAAAACCAATAAGGAAAAGAATAAATAATAAAACATAGAGAGTAAATTAAAGGGAAAAAAATAAAGAAGATAAGGGAACAAATTGAAAGCAACAAAAGAGAGAAAAAAGAGGACCAAATTAAACAAATAAAGATTTATTTTTTTTTATCTTTTTGAAACAGAGTCTTGCTATGCAGTTCAGGCTGGCCTTGAACTTTCAGCAGTCCTCCTGTATCAGCCTCCTGAGTGCTGGGATTACAGTCATGTGCCACCATACCCAGTGTATTTTCCTTTTTCTTAGGAATTGCTAGATTATTGGTAAATGTATGTTAATTCTGTAGGGAACCACTTTTTCTCAGAGTTAGCTGGAAGGATTTGTCTTATCCAATGGTTGTCTTCACTTGTATATATAGATACACAAGTAAGTAAGAAGTGGATACAAAAAGAAGTGAAAAGATCTTTTTTTTTTTTTGAAAAGATCTTTAAAAAGTAATTCTTAGAACAAAAACGATACTCTTGACCACTTGGCAAGGATACTTACTAGTAATTTAAATCCTAAAAGTAGGCAGTAGCCAACACTTTGGAGGCTGAGACAGGAGGATCCTTTCCAGTTTGAGACCACCCTGGGCTACAAAGTGAGCTCAAGGCCAGCCTGAACTGCATAGTGAGACCCTGTCTCAAAAAGACAAAAACAAAACAAAACAAAACAGAAAATAAGTTCCAAAAACTCACCTTCTGTTTAAACCCCTCCTTTCATCTTCAACCTTAGTTTTTTGCATTGCTTAGTCTCCATTTTTCTGTTAAACTATCAGCTCTGTGTGTTAGCTTTTGGTCACTGTGACCAGATTACCTAAGAGAAACACCTTAAAGTTTTCTTTTGGCCCATAGTTTCAGAGATTTCAATCTATGGTCAGCTAGCATCTTTATTTCTGGGCCCTGAGGTGAGATAGGACATCCTGGAAGAAGAATGTAGAGGAGCAAAGTTCCTCAGTTTATGGCAGCCCAGAAGCAGAGAGAGAGAGAGAGAGAGAGAGAGAGGAAGATATCAGCAGAGCCACGGAGGAAAAGGCCAAGATAGTCCCCAGGTTAGGACACCATTCTCTGCTCCCTTAATTAGGCCCTATTTCCTTCTGTCATGTGATGGCTTGTGTCTGGATGACCCCCTAAAGCCTCATGTGGTCATAGGTGGGGCTTTTCAAAGAGGGCTGGATCTAGAGTGTGTGATGCTGGGATTAGTGTATGATGATAGGATCAAGGGTGTGATTGCTGAAGTAATCCCCTGATTGGTTTGGCATAGTTCTGGATGTGGACAATGGGAAGGCCCATGCTAGGTGTGAGGGCTACCCGCCCTAGGAGCATGTAGCCTGAGTAGAGTGTAAAGGACAGAAAGAGGACAGCTGTCATCCAGTCACTTGCTGTTATCTGCTGCTGCCTCCTACCTGCTCCGTGGTGCCCCTCTGCCATGCTGCCCTGCCTTGCAGCCAGCCATGTATGGACTGAGACCCCCATAAACTGTGAGCCAAAATAAACGTTTCTTCCTCTAACTTTGGGTGCTGGGTATTTTGTCTCAGTAACGAGAAAAGTAGCACACATCGGGGCTGGGGATTTAGCTCAGCAGCCCAGCGCCTATCTGGCAAGCGCAAGGTCGTGAGTTCAATTCCCGGTACCGGGGAAAAAAAAAATAAGAAAAGAAAAGTAGCACACATCACCTCCCAATGATGCCGTCTAATTATCTCATCACTGGATCAATCTGCTGATGAAATTAGAGCCATTGTAATCCAGTCATATCTCCAACCAAGCCTTTAGCGCATGAGTCTTCAGAAGACATTTCAAATTTAAACCATAACATTTTACTGTTATGTATTACCCAAATTTACTTGAAGCTGCCAGTCAGTCAATAACTTTCGTGGTCCTGGAGATCAAACCCAGGATACTACACACACTGTACCACTGAGCTATTTCTGCAGCCCCTAAGAAAAGTATTTTTAAGTTTTGGTTTTAAGCTATACGGATAGTCAATTCTGAGGTATCCAGTGAGAATATTTTGCACCTCTCTAGTTCTTTAATTTACTTCGTAAGAAAATATGCCAACATAAAATTACTAGGCATTGAGCTCTATAGCCATAGTTTTATGTTACACCCTTAATAATTACAGTATCAGGTTTTTTTAAAACTTTTTTATGTTCTCCTTGTGTCTTATTTTCTGTTTACCGTGGTTCTTTGATGATTCGTTAGATGTTGTATTTGAAACATTTCTGGGAGGATAGTTTGAGTCCTTTCTTCGGAGAGTATTTCATTTGCTTCTGCAGATGCTTAGAAGTACAATCTGGGATCATCTTGAGGTACTGGGATAATCCAGAAGAGGGGAAGCCAGTTTTCAGGTTCATGGGAGAACTGGTTTTCTCCTGATTCATCCTGATTTTGAGCACTTAGCCCCTCTAGGCCGTCTCTTTTAAGTTGGAGTGACTGAGCTCTGACACTCATTTGTTTTTGCACCTGTTCTTTGCAGTTGATGATGTCTTTAGGGGAAAAGTAGGTTCTTACCTTTTCAATGACAGTTCTTTAGCAGCTCTCCATGCCTGATCTGCATATTTTAAAATCCACAAGCATGGCAGTCTGGGAGCCCAAAGCAGCTTGTGCCAGCAGTTGTGGTATCATTGTCCTCATGTGTCTGGCCTCCTTGGCATGCATGCCTGGTTAGTTTATGTCTTCTCATGGTAATTGCCACTCCTTTCTTACTGTCTTCCTGTCCCCCTGAGACCAGTCTTTTTTAACAGTCCCTTCCTCTTACCATTCCAAGGCCGCCCTCAAGCTCTGAAATTCCACGATCCTAATGAATGTGTGATTTTGCTTTTTGAAAAGAATTATATCTATCAGAGAAACCAAGGAAATTCTTTGCTCTAGAATAGCAATGCAGATAAGAGTAAGTGATGGTAGAGTAGATGGACAAATTCGTTTGTGCCAGACAGAAGCCTTCGTTGTACTTAGAAATACAGACCACCTAACCAAGTGGTACTCCATTTATCATGGGAGTCCAGTGACTTGTTAGACTAGCTTGTAATTCTTTGTCAAATGCAGTTTTTTAAGAAAACGTTTGGATCATAACTTCCAAAAGATAGTTTATTAGTGTCACATCTTTTTCACATTATCTAGTTCAAACACAGTTTTCTTTATCATTCTATGTTTAAAACCGTATAAAGCCCCTCCAGAGGAAAACATTATAAGATAGCGGTTATTCAAATCTTACAGGAATGGCCTAATTTACCCTGCAAGAATAGTGGGTTACTTTAAATAAAATTTCCTTTAACTTCTATTGTACTTTTTAAAATTTAGGCAAGGCAAACTATTTTATGGCCAACGTCTACCTCTTTTGATTCTACAAGAGAAACTATGCCTCCAGCAGCCCCTAAAGCCCAGGAATCCAGTCAGCTATCATGCAGACTCATGGCTGAAAAACAGGTAAACTTGAAATATTTTAAGTCACTGTTTCTGAGTATTGTGCCAAAAAGTGTTAGGTCTACAAATGTGAAAAACCTGACATTATGAAAGATTCTTTGGTCAAATAATTTTGGGGATTCTGGGTTGAAGAGTATAAATGTCTTTATCACCCTAAGCATTACAATGTTGTGACTTTCGCAAAGGAGGAGTCAGTGTTTAGCATTTTCCTTTTTATTTAGTACTAGTATTAGTTTGGTGTTTGTAGCCCCTACTTTGAAAAATGACATCTCTTACTGTTTTCAGAAGTTATTCATTAAGATCTAAGAGATTACATTTAAGAATATTATTTGAAATGTATGACCTTATTTTGTAAGAGCATTTTATTTTTAGTGAGTTATATTAGACCTCCATTGAGGCGTTCATACAGAGTTTTCGGCTCCTTCTCAGGTGTCAGTGATAATTTTACATCTACCAAATAGTTAAGCCCTGTGATCTGAAGACCTAAAGCATGAAAGAGTGAAAAGTTGTGTGAGAGAAACATATTAAAAATAAGGGGGAAAATACCAGTAGTCAGAAAGAAACTTATTTCAAAGAACCATCAGAATCACCTCCTATTTTGAGATGATAGGCTCTTTAATATCTAGAGGCATTTAGATATGAAGAATATAGTACTTTTATTTGTATTTTGTCTGTTACCTTTTTTTTTTTTTTTTTTTTGTCTCTTTGAGACGGTCTGGCTATGTAGTTCAGGCTGGCCTTGAGCTTACTTTGTAGCCCAGACTGGTCTCGAACTTGCAGCGGTCCTCCTGCCTCAGCCTCCCAAGTGCTAGGATTACAAGCGTGTACCACCACGCCCTCTGTTGTTCAGACTTTTAATCTGTGTCTGTATGTGTGTGTGGTACTGAGGATAGAACCAAGGGATTCATGTGTGCTAAGCATGTACTTTACTACTGATTATATATTATCATTATGTCCTTTTCTTTTTCTTGTTTCTTACTTTTTTCCCCCATTGTAATGTTTTTATTGATTTAAGAGATTTAGGGTTCTCTTGTTCAGGATATAAATTTAGAATTAGAGATATAAGATTTGTTTGTCTTTTCAGGGTGATTCTATTAGAATCTATTACCAGATTGATAGGCTCCTTTTTGTGCTTAGACCTTGTCCATTATACAAACAACTGTGTAAATTATTAGCTCTGTGTAGTCTTAATTGTATATTGGTTCTGTATATTGACTCAATTATGTCTTAATCTTTTTTTTTTTGTCATCCTACTAATCATTAAAGTGCCACTTCTGAGTGATTTAGCTTTTCTATTTAATTGATATTATCTAATTTGCATCCATTTCTTCTGATGGGGCCTGGTCTAGTTCAGTTAAGTCCATTTGGTTTGTAGAAATTACAAGCTGTTTTTGTTACTGTTTTTTGTTTTAATTTGTCCAGTAGCACCTACATATGTGTATTCTGTATAATTTGTGTTAATTTGCAAACTTCTGGTCTGTTGCTTATTTTGTTAGAAATTGTATGTGTGTTTTAATCATGAGCATAAAGTTCACATTTAATAAAACCCTTTGGAGAAAGCATAGGAAATTATATGTAAGATTTTTCTTCACTTCATATCTTAAAGTTGATCCTTCCCTCTGTCCTTGTGACTATAGCAGGAGGAAGCAGAATGGGAAATCATAAATGTGCTGTTAATGAGACATGGCTTAAAACCTTTGTGCCTAGTTGAAAGAACAGATCTTAAAGGTAACCAAATCTTATGTTTGTTTTGCAAGGTAAAAAATTATTCTTTCTTTAAAAATTTTTTATCTTAAAATGTTTTTACCTTACCTTTTTCTTTTTTGGTACTTAGAATCCTTACCTTTATTTTTACTGTCTGTGTCATATTTTAAAAATGTAGATCTTATAATTTTTGATAAACAGTCATCACAAAGGATGAGGCAGAATTTGAAAATGTTGGTGGAAGAAACAGATCGTCAACAGAACGTGATACAAGAGCTCATAGAAACTAATCAACAGCTTAAGTAAGAAACTGAGTTGTTTATATCCTAAAAATAACTACTTTGAAAAGGACCCACAGTTTAATTTTTCATTTTGATTAAATTTTAACATTTTAAACTATTTTTGAAGTTACACAGATAACAGTTTCAGTAGATATGTTTTGGTAGTAGCGTAGCATAGGTAATATAATGGTATCATCTGTTTCTTCTGTTAGTTTCTGTTCTAGAAATGTTGACTGGAGGTGTAGCTCCGTGGTAGAACATGTACTTATTATGCTCAAGGGCCTGCGTCCAGTCCTTAGCACCCAAACAAAAATACAGCATTGAAGAATGCAGGGCAGTTTTAGAAAGTAAATTGCTCAAAGGCTATATTTGGTGATTTGGTTCCTTTTTAATACTAAGGGTTGGAATTATGTCTGTTACATTAGAAATGAGCTTCAGCTAGAAAAAAACCGAGCAGCACATCAGGAACAACGAGCTAATGACTTGGAACAGATTATGGAGAGTGTGAGATGCAAGATTGGTGAATTGGAAGATCAGTCTGTAAATAGGGTTTGCCAGCAACAGAATGAAATGAAAGATCTTCAGAAGGAGCATAGAACTTTACAGGTACTGAATTATGTTTTCCGAGATGATGATCTGTGTTACCAGCTCGTCATGGTCCCGGGTGACTTCCATGTTGCTTAATTCAGTGGTCTTTCCCCTACTTCAGCTGTCACTGTGCTTTTTTGAAACGCCTTGTGTCTGCCTTCCAGAGTACCCTCTTGATTCTTGTCTCTTGCTTCCCTTGCCATTTAGTTCTTTCGTTGCAGGCTCTTCTCATCTACCTCACGTCTTGGAGTTGAAATTCCCTGGTGCTTAGTCCTGTGACTTTTTCATTTTTCTGTATTCGCTACAGTAATTCATGACTCACATGATATAATAACCCAGACTTTTCTCCTAATCCCATACTCACAGACAGCTTATTCGAGAGAGTAAGCCCAGTCATAACCTAATTTTTGATCTCCTATATGGAAGAAGAGAACCTTAAATCAAGAGTTTAGATAAAGGAATTAGAGAAATGATAGTTACACTAGCACTTGACTTGAAAAAAAAAGATCCTCTTTGGGGTAAGGTGCCCTTGCATATTTCATGGTTTTGGAGAAAAAGTAAACTCAAAGAAATGAAATTCGCTTTCAGGGCCATCTTTCCCCAACAGTATTTGCAGATTCCTGAACATTGAGATCATCTGGTTTTTCCTTCATTCTGTTAATGTGTTGTATTTTTTTCCCCCTTTGTTGAATCATTCTAACATGCCAAGAGTAAGTCTCCTTTGTACCTGGTATATAGGCAATCCTTTTCACATGCTGTTATATTTGGTTTGCCAGTGTTTTATTGGGGATTTTTGCATCAATATTATAGTGGATATTGCTATATACTTCTGTTTTCTGATAATGCTGTTGGCCTTGGTATCAGGATACTGTTTGCATCATAGAATAAATTAGGGATCAGTTGATTTTTGTATGCTGATCTTATATCCTGCCACCGTACAAACTCAGTAGTTCTATGTTCATGACTAACTTATACAAGCAGGTGCTGGCACCCTCAAGGGTTGCTAAGTCTCAACAAACTTTATACAATGGACAGATGAACATGTGCTGCTGGGTGCGGTGGCACACACCTGTAGTCCCAGCACTCGGGAGGCTGGGGCAGGAGGAGGAGGCTGAGGCAGGAGGATTGTTGTGAGTTCAAGACTAGCCTGGGCTACAGAGTGAACTCAAGGCCAGCCTGAACTGCATAGTGAGACCCTGTCTCAAAAAAACAAAAAATAAAAAGACAAAAAACAAAAAACTGAGGGATAGAAACTATAGAATAAGGGGAAACCAGGCAAGGAATACATTGCTTAAAATAGGGGAGAAGAATGTGCAAGATTCCTTTGTATAAATCCTGGGGTGTATACTGATTATTTCTTGATGGTAGCTTCCTTGTTATGGATTTGACTGTGAGTTTGCAGTCTCCCACATTGCCTGAAAGCCCACGTTGACTACACGGTTGACAGTTCTACATTTTCACTGATTACTTTTGAACCTCAACTTTCATTCCTGATTCTCTTGAACATTATTCATATTGTTCCTTGCCTCATTATTGTTTCCATCTAAACCTAAACATAAAATTACCAGTTTTTTTTGTTTTGTTTTACTTTTTGAGTCTCATGATGTAGTGCAGGCTGGCCTTGAACTCATTTATGTAGCCCAGGCTAGCTTCAAACTCACAGTAGTCCTCCTGCCTCAGCCTCCCGAGTGCTGCGATTATAGGCATGTGCCACCATGCCTGACCTGAAATTACCAGTTTTATGGATATTCTTAAATTCCTTATTAAGAACTCTTAAATGAACTCAATTATAAGCTATAGTTTCTATAATTCTTGAATGCAGCAGCTCAATAGAAACTGTGAAGATATCTTACCTATTAGGACAGCATGTTCTAAGTGTACATATCATAATTATGTTTTTAAAATTTTTATTACAGTCAAAATGCCAGCATTATAAGAAAAAACAAATGGAACAGCAACATATTATTGCTGCTTTGCAAAAGGATGTCTGTCGATTAACAAAAGAGGAAGAAGAACGAATTATCACGCAAAACAGAGTGTTTGCCAGTCTCTGCAAAAGAGTTCCTCATACAGTCTTGGATCAACAGTAATATTTACCATATAACGTGATAATGCTAGAGTCACTTTTTAAAAAACTGATTATATCTTGGGAGTGGTTCTATCTCTTATCAACCAGAAGATTCTCCCTTCTGCTTTCTTATTTTTCTCATCCTGTACTATTCTTTTGTCCTAGAATTCTTTTGAAGAATGAAATTACACATTTATTTTAAAAAACAAGCATTTAAAATTAAGTAAATTCCCAATTTTTAATTTTTTCCCAATTAATTTTTGAGAGCTATTTTTAAAAATTAATTTTTAACTGGTACATAAAAACGTAGAAGTTGTACATTCATTGGCTTCTGGACACTTGGTTTTTAGTTCTTAGCTATTGGGAATAATGCTGCAGTGAGCATGGGCGTACAGATGTCTCTTGACAACTGATTTTATTTCCTTTGGATAGTGAGATTGCTGGGTCAAATAGTAGTTCTCTTTTTAATGTTTTGAAGAACCTTTATATTGCTTCCCATAATACTGTAAATCTACATTCTCATCAGCAATGTGCAAGATTCCCTTTTATCTCACCAGCACGTTACCTCTTAGTTTTATCGATAATAGCCATTCATTGGGGTGAAATGATATCTTATTGTGGTTTTCATTTGCATTTCCTGGTAATTAGTGATACTGACTTTTTTTCATAAACATTAGCCATTGTATATCATGTTTTGAGAAATGTCTAGTAAGGTCTGTTGCTCATTTTTTTTTCTATTCTATTGATATTTCAGAGTTCCTTGTCTATTCTGGCTATTATCCCTTTTCAGGTATACAGTTAGCAAATATTTTCTCCTATTCTGTAGGTTGTGTGCACTCTGTTGACCGTTTCTTTTCCTGTGTCCGATCTCTGAGGTTTGCAGTAATCCTACGTGTTTGTTTTTGCTTTTGTTTCCTATGTTTTTGGGGTCTTCAAAAAAATCTTTTGCCCATTCCAGTATCCCAAAGCAGTTGTGTATTCTTACAGCAGTTTTCTAGTTTCAACTTCTTAATCTCTTTGGAGTTTATTTTTGTAACTGGTGATAGGGGTCTAGTTTTATTCTTTTCCATGTGGATATCCAGTTTTTCCAACCCAGTTAACTGTCAGATGTTTCTCAAAAGAACGGATTCCTTTTAGTAAAGAATGGTATTTAGAAACCACTGTGTGGATGTTGAGTTGCATATTGATTATTATACTGTCAGTGACTTTTAAACTTTTCAGTAGAAGTAGGAATTATGTATTTCTTGGGAAAATTTTAGCCATATCACTATAGATTTTTTTTTCAAAATTATGTGAATATTATGGCATTTAATTTTTTTGTGGGGGGTCTTTTTGAGACAAGGTCTTGCTATGCAGTTCAGGCCAGCCTTGAGCTCACTTTGCAGCCCAAGCTGATCTTGAACTTAAGATAATCCTCCTGCCTCAGACTCCTGAGTACTGGGATTATAGGTGTGAGCCGGCTTACAGCATTTAAATTTAAACTCTGTTACTTTTACTTTGTAATTCTTAAAATTTTTAAATTTTTATTTTTTTATGTGCTAGGAATGGAAACCAGGGTCTCACATGCTGCACATACTCTTGACCACTGAGCTATAAGCTCAGCCCTGTAACTGTTCTTTTATGTGGAAAATCGTTATTCCTAAGAACAATATTATAACTACTAATTTTAATCTTACAGTTCTTATATAAAAGCTGGCACTTTGTGTTTTTCACTTAATGTATAACTGATTGAATTTTAACCAGTCTTAGGTGTTTACATAGTAGGACTGAGAATATACTGATTGGGTGTTTCTGTTGTACTAGAAAAATAAATTAGATCAGATATAAGTAAAAATTTAAAGCTGTAGGTGGTCTGGATTTTTATCTGAGAAATAGACATACATGTATACAATTTTTATTCTGTGCAGATAAAGAGAAAGCAGTTCATAATGATTCATAACAAAAAGCAAAAATGTGGTTTCTAGGTGCTGGGAGGCCCAGGGGACGGGCGGGGCGAGCAGGCCCTCGGAGCCGGCCAAGCAGGCTCC